TATATATATATATATATATATATATATATATATATATATATATATATATATATATATATATAAATACAGTTATTTATTTCTTTGAGAGAGAGAGAGCATGCACACAAGTTGGGGACAGGGAAAGAGAGAATCTTAAGCAGGCTCCACACCCAGCATGGAACCAGACCTGGGGCTCAATCCCACGATGCTGGGATCATGACCTTATCTGAAGCCAGATTTAAATGTTCAACCAACTGAGCCACCCAGGAACCCCTGTTTTTGTATTTAAGGTACATTTCTGGAAGACTGCATGTATTGGTTCCTACTTTTTCATCCAACCTGTCAAGCTGTTCCTTGTAACTGAGGGTTTCTAGCCATTTGTACCTAATACAGTATAGGTTTACATCTGTTATTTGGTGAGTACTTGTTCCGTTGTCCTTTACTTGCCTTTTTCTTTTTAATGCCTTACTTTGGAGTAAGTATTGCTTTATGATTTTTTACTGCCTATCTTGGCTTATTAGCTATAACTCCTGGTCTTGTTATTTTATTGATTGCATTAGGGTTCATAGCATATATCTTCAACAGAGTCTAACTTCAAGTGATATACTACCAACCTTAATTGATATACTACTTCATGTACAGGTTTCTCCCACTATCAGAAACTAGAGTGTTCTTATAAAACCTTTTATAAGCTAAAATGGCATAAAGAGAAGAAGCAATTACCATTTTGTAGAAGTGAAAACTGTCTTTGAATTTCTTTTGGTTAGCAAAAACAGGTACTAATGTACGTCTTTCGTAAAAGCAAAGAGGCATAAAGCAAACTTTCAGATAGCCTGAAACCTATTTATAGTGTAAGAGTTTATAACAGACTTCCATTCCTTTCCTCCCAGCCTTTATGTTATTGTTGTAATACGTTTTACTAATACATGTTACAAACCCTCAAATACATTTTATTTTTGTATAAACAAATGTTATTATATTACATATATCATTATAATGCGAAAAATAACCTTTTACAGTTACTTCTATGATTACTATTTCTGATATTCTTCAATACTAGGTGTAGATCTTTCCTCTGGTTGAAGGACTTCCTTAAACATTCCTTGTACTGTGTGTGGGTCTGCTGGTGATTTCTGAAAAAGCATTTTGTCTTTGTTTTTGAAACATATTTCCACTGGATATAAAATTCTAGGTTTGACAGCTGTTTTCTTTCAGTGTTTTAAGGATGCTGTCTTCGTATTGTTTCTGATGAGAAAGTTACTGTCATTCTTATCTTCATTCCTGTGTGTAACATCTTTTTTCCTCTGGTTGCCTTTAAGATTTTCTCTTTATCACTCTCTTTAATAAAAAGAAAAATGTTTATTTATTTTTGACAGAGAGAGAGAGAAAGAGAGAGAAAGAGAGACAGAGATAGAGAGAGAGAGAGAACAAGAACATGAACAGGGGAGGGGCAGAGAGAGAGGGAGACACAGAATCCAAAGCAGGCTCCAGGCTCTGAGCTGTCAGCACACAGCCCAATGTGGGGCATGAACCCACAAGCCGTAAGATCATGACCTGAGCCAAAGTCGGAAACTTAACTGACTGAGCCACCCAGGCGTCCCTCTAATGCTTTGATCTCAATGTACCTTGGTGTCATATTTTACTGTCCTTGGAGTTTGAGGAGAATTTTAAATTTGTAAGATTATTATAGTATTCAATGAATTTGGAAAAATTTTAGACATAGTTTCTTCAAATATTTTCTTCTAACTCTACTACTTCCTTTATATACTCTAATTATGCCTACATCAGCTCTACAGTTCACTGAGGTGTTTTTCTTTCTTTATTCCTTTTGTTTCACTTTGGATGGTTTCCACTGCTATGTCTTCAAGTTCATTAATCTGCAATGTTAATCTGCTATGAATCCTATCTAGTGTATTTTTCATATTGAGTTTGTAGTTTTCATATCTAGAAGTTCACTCTGGGATTTGTATCATATAGGTCTCTATTAAACTTTTTTTTTAAACATTTTTTTTTTAATTTTTTTTTTCAACGTTTATTTATTTTTTTGGGGACAGAGAGAGACAGAGCATGAACGGGGGAGGGGCAGAGAGAGAGGGAGACACAGAATCGGAAACAGGCTCCAGGCTCCGAGCCATCAGCCCAGAGCCTGACGTGGGGCTCGAACTCACGGACCGCGAGATTGTGACCTGGCCGAAGTCGGACGCTTAACCGACTGCGCCACCCAGGCGCCCCTCTATTAAACTTTTTTAAAACTTGGAATATAGTTAACTATCCTAACTATCCCATAACTATCCTGATGTCCTTGTCTATTAATTCTAACATATATGTCAGTCTTCATCAATTGATTCTTCTCATTATTGGTCCTATTTTCCTCCATGTTTGCATGCCAGGTACTTGTATGAATTTTATCTTGTTGGGTGCCAGGTATTTGTGCATTCCTAAAAATATTTTTGAGTTTTCTTCTGTTTAGAGATTTTCAGGTTCCATATGCAAATCATATGCAACCAACGATTTAGTGAAATTAGTATCAGATTGGTAATACTTCTGACCAAAACTAAAAGATCAGTAACATTTTATAAAACCAAGTCACCTATAATCTGTGGTATATTCTATAGCACATTTATGATTGTAGATCCTACCTGAACATCTTTACTAGAAACTGTAAGATATTATCACTTTGTATTATTACAAAAGGGAGACGAAAAAAAGAAATCAAAGATGCTATGACAGCACAGGTGGGATTTTCTCATCCCTTTAAAATCAAATCAAAACATGACCATTTCTGCCATACTTCCTACTTTGTATAACTTACCATAAAGATTTTTAAGATAAAGATATGTTCAAAAACCAGAGCAGTTACTTGTAAATAATTTGATCCTTTTGGGTTGTGCTTTTGTTTGGAAGGTCCAGAATGTGTTCAGTCTAGTGCTAATTATCCCCCCACTACTGAGATGAAACCTTACTGAGTACTCAATGTTCTGTTACTCATGAGGTTTTCCACCTGGCTGTTGGGAGTCAAGCAATATTCTTGGCTCTGTGTGAACTTCTGAGACTGTTCCTTTTCATTGTTTTGGATTATTGTTTTCCCAGACATTGAGTAGTTTCTTCACATGTATATGCCAATCAGTACTCTACCAAATACTTGAAGGAGACTCTGATTTCTGGGGCTCTCTCTGCATGTAGCTCTTTTCTTTGGTGTTCTGTCTTATGAACTCCAGCTATTTTGTTCTCCCCAGACTCTCACCTTTTCAACTCAGCCTGGCTAGGATACCCCTCCCTGTGCCACAGTCTGCAAACCCTCTCAATACTAGGAGTTAAAGTAATTATTAGGTTCACCCTATTAATTCCTTTCTCTTAGGGCTCACTTTTCTTTCATTGACTTAAGTCCAGTTTCCTGAAAACTGTTGTTTTATGTTTTTCCTGGTGTTTGTTTTCTTCAAGTGGTAGGGTAAATCCATTTCAATTATTCCATTTCAATCACAAATGGAAGTAAAGTCTTGATGGTTTTCATTAGTTTTTAAAATATTTTTTTTAATCTATTTGGTACCAGTGCCCAAGGCCAAAATTTTATTACTTCACTTGGATTACTGTAGTTGCTTCTTCTAATTGCCTTCTTTGTCTAGAGTTTTGTCCCCCTTAAATTCTTCCTCCACATAGTGACCTGAGTAATGTAAGTGAAATACACTTATTTTAATCCACTTTAAAAATCTGTTAATAGTCCCATTTCCTATAAGATTAAATTTCCTTAACACAACATATAAGCTCTTCATGACTTAAGTCTGCAGAACTTGTTAGTCACCTCCACATGCCAAACTGTAGATGCCAGCAATGATGAATTGTACCTACTTTTCATCCGTATCATGTTATTTCTTTGTGCATTTGCTTACGTTATTACCTCTGCCTTTCTCTTCTTCCTCTCCAGCTGATTTTTCATTCTTAAAGTTTCTCCTCAGGTGTTACCATATGAGGAAGTATCACCCCTTGGTTTTGGTTAGGAGCCTAACACTTGTGCACACCTTTATAACTGTAACTTAATATGCTAAATATAATCATGTCTGTGGGTTGGTCTCCTGCTATACTGTAAGCTATCTGAAAGCAAATTTTTTATCTTAATCAACTTTGGGAACCCAATGACAGACACATAGTTGACACTTTATAGACATTTAATAAATCCATACTGAACTGGAAGAATCAATTATTATAACTGTGTATAATTCTTTTTCCATTTTAATCTGGAAAAACTGTCTATCAGTTCTTTTATGCCATTCTAAGAAAAGCACCTGGCATAATGGTAAGCTTGCAGTTTGCTAAATAAATATATGATTAAGCATTTTTTTATTGTGGTCTCAATATTTTTGTTCAGATAGCACCATAAATATTTCTTCTCTAAGCCTGAGATTTGTCTACAAACTTCTTAAGCTCTGAGATACCAATTCAATAATTAATTTCCAGTCTTTTATGGTATTTTATATTCTTTTTCTCTGAAAGACAATGGTAGTAACAGAGTTCTTGAAGTATCATGTACAAGTCATAAGTAATTGATGATTTCAGCAAAATTGGAATAAAACTGGTAATGCTTCTGTACCAAAAGTTAAAAATTATAAATACTTTAATAAACACTTTGTAAAACCAAATCACCTGTTGATTTGTAGTATGTTCTGTAGCATAGTCATGACTGTAGATCCTATTTGAAGGTTGTCAGTTTGCAGTAAGTGTAAGAAATGATCACTTTGTAGTACTAAAAGAAGAGAAAAAAATTAAAACAAAGATTCTATGATACAATTGAGATTCATTTATTTTCAAAATCAAATCCAAGCATGACCATTTCTACTAAAATACCTGCCTTTGTATACTTTACAATAAAGAAGATTTTAAGATGGGCAGTTTCAGTAACCATAAAAAAGTGATTCCATTTTATGAAAGTTATAAACAGAAAGCATCCACAAATACTACCCTAAGACTCTACTGTTATCTCCCATTAAATGAGAAATAAAACAAAACATATCCTAAATTCGAATCTTTCTAGCAATAAACTTCAGTGAATGAAATCAAATTTCCTGTGAAGAAAAGAGAATATGAAGGAATGGAAATGGTACATGTGACTGTAAACAGTGGCTTACATCCTTAAAACAACTGTTATATAATATACCATGTTTGCTAACATTTTGTCTTAAATAATAATGAAATTATCATTTACAAAACAACGTTTGTTTTTATTGGTTTATAATTTTTAGGTTCTGAGAAGCCAGTTTTGAAGACCTGACACTGGATGCTTCTGTAAGTTGCTTAACCTCTCAGAACTCCCATTTCTTCAACTGTAAAACAAGAATAGCTCTCTCATAGACTACTGCTGAATGTCCTACAACCTACCCTACTGAATAGGTTCCCAGTAAATGTCAGTTTCTACTCCCTTCTCCATTAACTGATCAGAATTACAATTAAAGTGGGATCAGGCGTGCAGGCAAGCCAATTCTGTGAATACTATCCTAGCTTCCACAAAACAACTTTACTCTTTGCCTCTTCTTTCTCCTGAAAGAATATATTGATTTCTTTCACATACTAATTACTGTTTTTCCATTTAAAAAGTCCAATATTTCAATATTTTATTAAACATCAATTTTTTTAACATTTAGCAACTTCAAAAAAAAATTCCACTATTAAATACTTCTATAGCTTCTTATTTTCTATTACTTCAACAGTAAAAGACTTCTTTTTTATAACTGGAATAAGTATATTATTTCCTTTTTGTCTACTTAAAGATGTTTTATTAGTAACTCTTTAATTAATTAATTTCAGAGAGAGAGAGAGAGAGAGAGGGCGTAAGTGAGTGAGGGGGAGACAGAGAGAGAGAAGCAGGACTCAACTGAAGTGGGGCTTGTGCTCACCCAAAGCAGGGCTCCAGCTCACTCAAAGTAGGGCTAGAACTCACGAATTGTGAGATCATGACCTGAGCCAAAGTCAGATGCTTAACTGACTATGCCTTGCCCTTAGTAACTCTTTGTAATTCTGAATTCACTGAACTCGTGATATGCAGTGTGTGTGTGTGTGTGTGTGTGTGTGTGTGGTGTGTGTGTGTGTGTGTGTGTGTGTGTGTGTGTGTGTGTGAGCTTTTTTCTATACTGGAAAAAGTCATGCTAAAATAATTTTAGTCATTCCATTTTATTTTTACACTGTTTTATATTATTACATAATTTATTTTTGGAGCCTCTGTTCTGTTTTTCAAGTGTAGTTGTTTTTATTGAGTGTGAGATAACTATTTGGTCCCCCAAACAAAAATACTTGTGCCCATTTAATTAACCTTCTTATAATGAATGCTTCAAACCTTCACAAGAGTAGAGAGAATAATATCATGATTCTACATGCATTCAACTTTAACAATGATCAACTTATGACCAATCATCTTTCACCTAGCCTATCCACTTCCAGCCTCCCATTTTATTTTGAGCTAATCCAATATATCAATTATTTTATCCACAAATACTTCAACATATACTCCCAAAAGATATGATTAAAAAATAAAACATAACCATATCTAAACTGAATAATGTTTTTCTTTTTAATGTTTATTCATTTTGAGACAGAGACAGAGCGTGAGCGGGGGGGGGGGGGGGAGAGGGAGACACAGAATCTGAAACAGGCTCCAGGCTCCAAGCGGGGCTCATGAGATCATGACCTGACCATGAAATCTTGATCAAGACCTGAGCCGAAGTCGGACGCCCAACCGATGGAGCAACTCAGAAGCCCCGAATAATGATTTAATTTTATCAGATATCCAGTCAGTGCTCCAATTTCCAATTATTTTGTGGATTTTTAAAGTTTGTTTGAATCAAGATATAAATAAGTTCCACAATTACAAATATTATACATAGTAACTGGTTATCTTTCAAATTTCTTTTAAACTATGGATTCTTTTTTTTCTTACAATTTATTTGTTGACAAAACTATATCAATTGTCTTAGGAGGTTCCCATAGTCTAGATTTGCTAACTGCATTCCTGGGGTGTAATTTAGTGTTTCTCTGACCTTCTATAAATGGGTCATTGGAGCTAGAGGATCAAAATGATTCAGGTTTGAATTTTTGACATCTACATTTCATATGTGAGGTTATGCTGAGCCATTAGGAGGTACTTCTCAAATTTTGACAGTGATGGATGATTAATTCCTAAATCTGTTCACTTACTAACAGTTGTACAATGGCAATATCTATCTTACCTTTTTCACCTATTGGAATAGTTTTATAAAGAGAAATTTCTCCTCATCAAGACATAAGAAAAGGCAAGAGAAACTCTGGATTCTTAATTTACCAGTTTTCAAAATGAATTGGTTCCCTAGTAGACTTTAATGGTAATTTTTTTAAATAGTTGATATATTTTTATCCTCAGTAGTTATTATCCTTATTACTGTTCTAATTTCCCACTTTTGGCTAATAGAAGCCTCCTTATTTTGGCTCCTGAATCCTTTTCACAGAATCCCAATAAATTTTGTGTGTGTGTGTGCTTTTATTCACTTGTTTTATTTTTTATAATCCCAATAAATTTTGCTTGCTTCCTTTCTATCTGGTATACAAAATACTTCAGGCTTACCTTGCATATTTTCTGTCTCAGACTTTTAGTCTGCCATTTCTGTAAGAGCTAATTCTTTTTAGAGAGAAAGGTTATAGGAGACCCCAATTTTGTACCCATTTATTTTTTTGTATATGAATCTCACAACCATGTAATTTAGTTTTAATACAAACTTTATTGATATTTTAAATCTACAGAATAACCTGAGGAACAGTCACATTTGTTGTCATTACTATTTCTGGAAGAAAAAAACAGCATATTTTAAAAGTTATTCAAGTATTCTCTCTCTTGCTATCTCTCATTTTACTAGGCCTTTTACCACCCATTATAGTATAGTAAAACTAAGTACTTTATATTTTTGGTAAAACAGTTGTTTAAATTGAGAACTTTATAATATTTGTTTCATAATGGGAAATTAATAGATAATGCTTTAAAAGAAAAGGAAGTAACTACGTATTTAAAAAAAAAAGAGAGGGGGCGCCTGGGTGGCGCAGTCGGTTAGGCGTCCGACTTCAACCAGGTCACGATCTCGCAGTCCGTGAGTTCGAGCCCCGCGTCGGGCTCTGGGCTGATGGCTCAGAGCCTGGAGCCTGTTTCCGATTCTGTGTCTCCCTCTCTCTCTCTGCCCCTCCCCTGTTCATGCTCTGTCTCTCTCTGTCCCAAAAATAAATAAATGTTGAAAAAAAAAATTTAAAAAAAAAAAAAAAAAAGAGAGAGAGAGAGAGAGTGGGAGAGAGACTATTCATCAGGGTTTCAGAGGACCTGGTTTCTGGGTCTACTTAGTTTCAAAAGGATATAACCACCCAAAGTATTAGTTGCAATAATTGTTGCAATAATTAGTTGCTGCCTTTGGAAAATGGGAAATGAAGTGAGGCACAAGGGCCAGGGTTTGTTTTTAACCATCCTTATAGAACTATTTGATTCTTTATGTGCATGCATAATATTCTAAAAAAATTAAATTAAAAATAAAAATTCAATTCTATTTTCACCTTCTAAAAAAAGTCAGTGTTCTTATATTTTTCTTATAGTTACATTTATCTTAGATTAAATCTTTCAAAAGGATAGAATGTTGCCACAATTATCATTAAAGATTAGTTCCCCAGTCTTAAGAAAACATAAAACACATGTTTATATTTCTCAAGTGTAGAAATATCCTATAAAATAACTATCAAGTTCAGTAAAATGTCAATATATAAAAGTTTACTCCTACATGAATAGTTAGGCTATGAATTAAATCATATATGCTCTGTACATAGGGATTTCTCTCACACTAAATCTAAAATACAGATGCAATCTTTGGAGCTTAGAAAAAACTTTTTCCCTAAGTTGTTAAAATTATCATCCAAAGAAGACTTCCAGATGGCCAACCGACACATGAAAAAATGCTCAACATCACTCATCATGAGGGAAATACAAATCAAAACCACAATGAGATACCACCACCTCACACCTGTCAGAATGGCTAACATTAACAACTCAGGCAACAACGGATATTGGCAAGGATGCAGAAAAAGAGGATCTCTTTTGCACTGCGGGTGGGAATGCAAATTTGTGCAGCCACTCTGGAAAACAGTATGGAGGTTCCTCAAAAAATTAAAAATAGAACTACCCTATGACCCAGCAATTGCACTAGTAGGTATTTATCCAAGGGATACAGGTGTGCTGTTTTGAAGGGGCACGTGCACCCCAATGTTTACAGCAGTTCTATCAACAATAGCCAAAGTAGGGAAAGAGCCCAGATGTCCATCAATGGATGAATGGATAAAGAAGATGTGGTGTGTGTATATATATATACACACACAAGTATACCTGCTGAGTATTACGCGGCAATCAAAAAGAATGAAATCTTGTCATTTGCAGTTATGTGGATGGAACCAGAGGGTATTATGCTAAGCAAAATTAGTCAGAGAAAGATAAATAGCATACAACTTCACTAATTTGAGGACTTGAAGATACAAAACAGAGGAACATAAGGGAAGAGAAGCAAAAATAATATAGAAACAGAGAAGTAGACAAAACATAAGAGACTCTTAAATATGGAGAACAGAGGGTTATTGGAGGGGTTGTGGGGGGGGATGGGCTAAATGAGTAAGGGGCATTAAGGAATCTATTCCTGAAATCATTGTTGCACTATACGCTAACTAACTTGGATGTAAATTAAAAAATAAAACTTTAAAAAAAATTTAAAAAATATCATTAATCCTTATCTTTGATTTGCTAAATAGAAAGAGCTAAGAAAAAATTATATTTAAATAATATTTAAGCAATTTTCTCCTTAATATTCACATTGTGAATGCTGACTATTTAAAACTGGAATGTACAGATGGGCTTTTATTTTTTTTGTGTGTGTGGTTATTTCAACGTAGTTTCATTTAACTGTGGTTATCTATATAGTTAATGAGATATTTATTTTTAGAAAAAAAAAAGCTGTTAGCAGGTACTTTACAATGATTATCAGTTACCTTAAAAATCTTTTCTCTTACCATTTTGGATGAGTTGAACATGGCCTCCCAAAAGCCAGAAGAGAGAATCAGTCACAATTTGGAAAAAGCGTAGTAATTCATCTTTTTCTTCACCCTTAATACACATAACACACACACAAACCCAATTTACTTTTCTGTAATTGCTTTATTAAAAAAAAAAAAAGAAGAGAAACTTCTCTCAGGGGGAATCAAGAGACCCTGGTTGCTGGATCTTACTTAGTTATTTATGATCTTGTAGCCTTTAGTTTCTTAATTTATAAAACTTGTGTTACAGGCTGGTGATACCTACCTACTCTACTTACTAGAGAAATGGTTGTTACCCAGAGGTCAAATGAGACAATATATAAACTGTATAAGAACTACAAGTTGATATATTAGGATTTCTCAACACTGGCTATGCATCAGAATCACTGTGGAGCTTTTTTTTTTAATTAAATATAGTATATCCATGTACAGGCTTTAACCCAAACAATTTGAATCTCCAAAGTCAAAGTCTGAACATCTGTATTTTTACAAAGTTAGGTGGCTGATTTGATTATGCAGTTAGGTTTGAAAATCACTGTTATATGTAAATGTAGATGTCAGCATGTAAAGCATTATTATTAGCACATTTCAGTTGCAGCTTCTAATCTATAACTCCATGAGAGCAGAGACCAAGTTACTTGGCTCTCCATTAGACACTCAGTGTCTAAAACAGTTCCAAACTTAGTAAGTGTTCAATCAGTATTTATTCTACAAATAAATGACAATTTTTTCTGATTCTTCCTTTCTGGAAAATAGGGTGATTAGTAGATTAGAATATATGTCATAATAGCAAATAAGAAACAGATTTTGTTCACAATTCTGTCATTTACTGGCCATGTAACTTCAGTGGAAAGTTGTATAAAGGCCACTAATTTTACCCAGGTCTTAAACATTTGTACTCTAGCACAAAAGTAATGATCACAATAGCAAAGGCATTATGATTGCAATGATTATTATAATAATAAAAGCATTTTCTTCCTATTATTTTAGCACAGGGCTAGGTAGGTGCTTAAATAGACATGTGCTAACTTAAATATAACAACAATAAAAAAACCAAAATCTAAAAAAGAAAGAAATGTCGCATTAGGTCAACAAATACTTAGTCCAGTAAAGTGCCTTTGCCGGTTTCACCAAAAGACACAGCAGAAAGAGCGTGGTAATCTTCATTGTTGTCAATCTCAAAGAATAGTGCAGAGTCCTTAGACTTCCTTTTTTCCTTAAAAAACCATTAGATAATGCCACCCATAAATTCATGTCTTCTGAGACTGGTTAACAAAATTTACCCTAAGTCACTTCAAAATTTTGGGGTAGGTATTTTTCTTATGGCAACATGTAAATGTATGTGTACGTGTGTATATTTTAACCAGTTTGCAGTTTAGGCCAGATCATTCTGTGTATGTCCCACCATGTGATCTAATACCTATATGTTAGCTAATTAAAAAAAATTTTTTTTTAATGTGTTTGGTTCTTTAGACAATGAGTTTGGCTTTTTTTTTAATGTTTATTTATTTTTTTAGAAAGAGCACACATGTGAGCACATGAGCAGGGGAGGGGCAGAGAGAGGGAGACAGAGGATCCAAGCAGGCTTCACACTGTTAGTGCAGAGCCCAAGGCACATCTCAAACTCACCAGTGAACCGTGACATGAGCCAAAGTTGGATGCTTAACTGACTGAGCCACCCAGGTGCCCCCAATATTTTTTTGATTGGGAAACACTTAGGTAGATAAAACTCATAAATTCAGTTTTCTTGTAATCTTTTTTTTTTTTATTATTTGAGAAAGAGAGAGAGAGAATCTTAAGCAGGCTCCACACTCAGCACAGAGTCCGACATGGGGCTCGATCCCACCATCCTGGGAACATGACCTGAGCCAAAATTAAGAGTTGGATGCTTAACCAACTGAGCCACCCAGACACCCCTGTAATCTCCTTTTTATCTATTTTCATTTTGTTCTGTGGTAAAATGGCCCTCTTTTGCTGTAGTTTACCCCCTTTAATGTATTACTGAAGGAGTTTTCGTTTCTATACAAATACCATAATAAAGAATAGGAAAGTATTATGAAAAGTTTTAAAGGACTATATAAATGAAAAGACCGTAATTACTATTGCCCCTAATATTAAATAAAAATACTCTCAAGAAAACATAAAGCTGTCTTAGTGGTCTGAACTATTCATGAGATAGAAATTATTTTACAGGGACGCCTGGGTGGCTCAGTCAGTTAAGGGTCTGACTTTAGCTCAGGTCATGATCTCACAGTTTGTGAGTTCGAGCCTCCCCATCGTCGGGCTCTGTGCTGACAGCTCAGAGCCTGGAGCCTGTTTCAGGTTCTGTGTCTCCCTCTCTCTGACCCTCCCCTGTTCATGCTCTGTCTCTCCTGATCTCAAAAATAAATAAAACGTTAAAAAAAATTTTTTTTTAATTTAAAAGAAAAAAGAAATCATTTTACAAAGGAGAAAACAGGTACAGTGAAATCAAGTCATCTGCCCAAGAACTCATAGTTAATTTGTTGCACAGCCAGGAAAAGAAATCAAGTCTAACACAAATTCCCATAGTTTGTGCTGCTTTAACTGACTTGAATTAAGTCTAGAAATATATAAAATTTATTTATTGCTACCAACCTCAAAATGCCAATGGAGATGCTGGAAGAATTTGTGACCTATTACATAGAAAGCCTATATACTCTACTACTAAGTTAAATTCTCTGTCAACAATAGTTTAAAACAAAATTTTTTTAACGTTTACTTATTTTTGAGAGACACACACACACAGTATAGGCAGGAGAGGGGCAGAGAGAGAGGGAGACACAGAATCCAAAGCTGGATCCAGGTTCTGAGCTGAGAGCACACAGCCCAACATGGGGCTCGAACTCACAAACTGCGAGATCATGACCTGAGCCGAAGTTGGATGCTTAACCAACTGAACCACCAAGGTGCCCCTGTCAACAATACTTCTTATACTCAAACTACTATCTCATCCATATTGTATGTCTCATTCAATTTCATTCATAATTTTTTAATTTGTTGTTTTTTAAATTAAAAATAGAGCTGTCTTATGTTTCCTAAAGAAATATCTAAATATCTTGCCGACTTTATTAGCCTAGGTGTTAAGTATAAGACTATGTCTATTCTTTATACTTAAAGCACCTCAAATGAAATTTAATATCCCATGATGACCTAGTTATTTTTCTTCATAACTTCCAAAAGTTGTTAATCTGTTCAAAATTTAATATAGCAGTAGGCCAAATGTACATATAGCTAAGAAATATTACAAGATAAAGAAGTTTCAGCTGTGTACACTTACGACTTCTTTAAGTATTATAACTAAATTGATCTGATATTCACAGAACATTCCACACAACAAACAGAGTTCACATTCAAGTATATAGGCAGTCCTTACTTTTTGCATGGTACCATGTTAAATGAAACTTGTGCCATATCAAAATCTTTACATGTTTCTGATATTCATGAGTTTCAACCAAGATAGCACTGTGCAAAGCAAGGACTGCTTGTAATGAAACATTCACCAAGATAAAAGGGCCATAAAACAAGTTCGAAAAAATTTCAAAGGATTGAAATGATACAGAGTATGTTATCTGACCACAACAGAATTAAAGTAGAAATTAGTAACAATAAAATATCAAGAAAATTCACTCATATGTGGAATTTAAAAATAAAACAATCATGGAGGGAAAGAGAGGGGCAAACCAAGAAAGACTCAACTATAGAGAATAAACTGATGGTTACCAGAGGGGAGGTGGGTGGGAGGATGGGTTAAATAGGTGATGGGGATTAAGGAGTGCACTTGTGATGAGCACCAGGTGTTATATGGAAAGTTGACTCACTAAACTGTACACTTGAAACTAATATTACACTGCATGTTAACTAACTGGAATTTGAATAAAAACTTTAAAAACAGAAAATTCTCAAATATTTGGATATTAAGCAACATATTTCTAAGTAATCTGTGGGTTAAAAAAAAAAATAGTACATACAGCATTTAGCACAATCCACCTAAGAAATACTTGCTGGACTTAGTAAGCCCTATGTTTGAGTTGAAATATTTTGACTACAGAAGATCTGAAAGATCAAACAGAAAGTTCACCTTTATTGTTCTGTGCCACAGAAGCTATTAGAAAAGTGCTGGGCCACAGAACAATACTTTCCTCTACTGTTAAGTAGGTGTATTTTAGAAAGATGCTATGGAAATAAATGTCTATGGGTGCTGCTCAAAGTTGAGAAGCAAAGCAGATTCTTCAAAAAGTCATATGGTATACTTCAGCCAGCACTTTAAAATTTCACACATAGAGGCTTTTTTGGTTATAATTTCAAAAATGTTTGGGTCCACTATTCTAATTGTACTTTCAGCCAAATACTGCACATGTGAAAAATAATGTGGAACATCTTCTCAAGAATTTTGGCTATTAAAATCCTGAATAAACACATATACCTTAGCTGCATTGATGAAACATGTTTGCAATCGCCTCCCCAAAACCAGAAAATTTTCTGCAGCTGATGGAAGCAATTCATTGTAAAATTCCTCTGCATCTTCTCCTGGCTCCAAGCCCACACAGCAATGACTAAAATAAGAGCACAAGTCTGTGACTGTTTGTGTTAATTATAAATTTCAGTTGAATGCTAGAGCTTCTATAGACAACACTGTGCCTTAATGAGAATTTTTAGTTATCTCTTTTGTTGTCAAGCCAATAAAGAACTTTTGCTGGAAAATTAGCATTACAACTTTCTGGAGAAGTAAGTCCAGTGGTGTGAACTTTGTCTGTACTGAGAGCTAGGACTCATATGTCCTAAAAACCTACTTGTCAGCTTTTCGGGAAACAAAATACACCTGATTCACAATAAAGAGAAACAAGGCAAGTTTTCAGTGAATGAGCTATAAACACTCTAAAAGCAATACAATACCTTGGGAGTCTAATTCATGAAAAACATTTGTGTTGATACCTTTGAGACATCTGATAGCTGAAAAATACCCAGGGTAGGATTAGTCTACAAGGGACAGATGAAGAAATCAAATACTCTAATACCAATTCTACTCTCCAATAGATCTATTTTCTTAAACTGCAAAATATCTGACTACACATTCCTTATATCAGAAGAGTAAACCACAAAAACCTTGCTTTATTAGGGACACTTTACAATTTATGTTAAAGTAGATAAAGTCATTTAGAGAAATGAGTCCTCTTGAAACTTCACATAAAAGTCACTCCCTAGTTATGAAATGTGTATATTCAAAGCTCTTGATAATAAAAAGTACTGGTGTAGACTAATACTAACAAGAGTCCCCCACCCAAGACTGATCTCTAATGAGTAAACACTGCTGTTAGAGGCTTTTCAACATGTGAAGATGACACTGATAAGCAATAGTGACTACATATGAGTATGCTAAAATTTAGCTGGTTAACACTCAATGTACTTTTGTTTTTGCACATCAATCCTAAAATTTATGGACAAACATTCACATGTATCAGTTTCTCTTTTTACTTTCGTTCCGAAAAATTATTTAAGAGTACCTACTTTGATTGTGGACATTAATTTAAAAAATTATGTTTTTGTATATGCACAAACATGGGGATTTTTTTTTTAATGTTTTTATTTATTTTTGAAGGAGAGAGACAGAGCATGAGCGGGGGAGGAGCAGACAGAGAGGGAGACACAGAATTCGAAGCAGGCTCCAGGCTCTAAGCTGTCAGCACAGAGCCCGATGTGGGGCTCAAACCCACAAACTGAGATCATGACCTGAGCTGAAGCTGGACACTCAACCGATTGAGCCACCCAGGCACCCCATACGTGGGGATTTCTTAAGACTTGGATTCCACTAAGATATGTGTATCTGTTAATAGTTTTTTCTAACTATACACATTGAATCCAGCCTTTATGTAGTAACAAATTAGGAATGAGCAGTTTTGAAAGGTAAGATTCCAATTAGTAATACAGGTGTTTAGTTACTTAATTAGAAAGTGGCTTAGGCATTGAGAACAACTGGTTTATTTTATTATCTCCTTTAAAAATAAAAGATTTTGATCTTCTAAATTTTATGGACAGGATTTTGGTTACCTAATGAAATATACAATTGAGATAGCTAAATCAATACAACATAAAATGACTAGCTTTTGTATCTGTTCTCCTATAGTACTTTGCTTACATCTTTCATCTTAGCACCTATTTCATTTAGCCTTGTATGATAAAGTCACATGACTGTCATCCCATGTCTACTGTAAGTTTTTCCAGTATAGAGCCAGTGCCTTAAAAATCTTCATTTCTTCATATATTCCTTAGTGAATAAAGAGTCTGTTTAGTACTTGGGACTCAGTGGTGAGCAAAAGACATGATCACCATCTTCACAGGACTTAGGTAGCAAAATTTTAGATAGTGAAATATTCACAAATACAGTTACAAAGAGTAATATATGGTATAAAGGAGGAAAAGTACAACCATAACCTACCACAGAAGGTTGCCAATTCTTGTTAAGCAGATGAATAAAGAGAAGCAAATGTTGAAAATAAGAATCTACTACTATATCCCTCAAGAACAGGAGGACTCATTGCTTCATTTTACCTTAATATCTGTGTAAGCTGGGAAATTGTAGTCCAACCACCCTGGATTCGAGAACAATCTTGACTGAGGACCAAAAGGCAATACTGAATGAGGTCATAACAATATATATCTTGTTTTATTTTCTTCAACTCTGAGCTTCCTAAAGGTGTGTTGTTTATTATTTCTAAGGCAAAAGGAAAGAAGATATACTTATTTCTGCTCAATAAATCCAAGACTTTTGTATTTTTATAGTTTGAATAATAACTAAAATTACTTTAAAAAGGAAACATAGCACTTTCTTATCACAATGTTAAGATTTTTCTGAACAAATCAGAAACAAATGCTAAAACTATACCCGTGATGGAATTGTTTTGTTCCTTAAATAGTGTTAGCCAATCACAAAAAGATTTTCTTACCTTTTAACTTCAACAGTATAATAGGGACGTTCTGCTCAGGACTGTTTGCAACTTCGGCAGCTAGAGATAAGATCCTTGGGTCTGTACCTGTTGGTTTCATTTCTTATCGCCTATATTTTAACAGAATCAGAAAGATAAAGGTCAAACAGCCCTAAAACATTTGCTCCCTAAATAATGTTTGAAAAATAGTTTCAATATAAAATTTGTTTTGTTTGCTTTGAGAAGTGAAGGATAGATTTTTCAATTTCTTCCTTACAGGAGATTCTAATGTTTCTAATTGGAATACCTATAAAGAGCTAGAGACTCCTATAACTTACTATGACAGCTACAGCAGGTATTATTTATCACGCACTAGGAGTCAGGAACAGTGCTAGATACTCCACATTCACTCTCTCTAATCTGCACAATAATCCTGGGATAGAAATTAATTTCTTTGATCATAAAAGAGACACTGAATGTGCAGAAAAGAGCTAACATAGCTTGAGACAAAGTTGGCCCTTGGCTGGTGAACTTGGGATTTCAGAAGGGTTTCCACCATTCCGTAACAAGAGTGGCTCACTGTACCTAAAGTGTTTGTGAAAACAATGTGATTTATGCAGAATGCCTGCTCTCATTCCAAAAGCTTGGAATTCTGGTACTTGGTAGTAGACGATGCCTATAGACCACCTCCAATAAAGACCCTTATCACTGAGTATCTAGTGAGCTTCCCTGGTAGACAACACTTCAAAATGTGACAGTTCATTACAGGAAGAATTAAGTGTGTCCTATACGAACCTACTGGGAGAAGACTTTTGGAAATTTGCACCTGTTTTCCTCTGGATTTTGCCCCATTTGCCTTTTCTCTTTGCTGATTTTGCTTTGTATCCCTTCACTGTAAATCACAGCCACAAATACGACTATATCCTAAGAGGTGTCAGCCCTCCCAGTGAATCACTGAACCTTGGGTTGGTCTTGGGGATCCTCAACACACAACTCAGAAATGGGACGTAATTATAAGATAACAAAAGCTTATTAATAAATAGCATAGTAAATCAAATTATCTTTGTTATTATTATTATTATCCTCATATTAGTGTAGTCTTGGCTTCAGGAGTAGAATCCTGTGATTCATACTTACATACAACACTCAGTGCTCATCCCAACAAGTGCCCTCCTTAATGTCCATCACCCATTTTGCCCACCCACCCATCAACCCTCAGTTTGTTCTCTTAGGGTTTGCCTCCCTGTCTCTTCTCTTCTTGTTCCTTCCCTTCCCCTAAGGTCTTGTTAAGTTTCTCAAATTCCATGCATGAGTAAAATCGTGTTATCTTTCTCTGACTTATTTTGCTTTGCATAATACCCTCCAGTGCCAACCAAGTTGTTACAAATGGCAAGATTTCATTCTTTTTCATCACCATAAAATCAATTACCTTAAAATTAAATATAAGACACATCCCAATTCAATTTGCTGTTTACCACACTCAAAGCTCAACGGTATCATTTAACAAAAAGTACAATCTTCACTTACAATAAAAGCCAACATATATTATTTTACTATGAACTAAGCACTGTACTAAGTGCTTTTGCACACATTATCTTACTTCTCACAAGACTATGAGGTAGAGGCTGTAATCATCTCACTTTACAGATATGAAAAATAAACTTTGAAGGAACCTATCATGGTTCCACCAGCATCTGGTGGAGTCCGTATTCAAATCCAGATCAGTCTGACTCCAAAGTCTGTGGTTTTAGATACAATGTTCATTATATTCCCTTCCATGTAAAATAATAAAAAACACAGATGACATACTTTTAACTCACTTATTTTTAGGTATTATTCTTCAAAATTGGCACCAAAACTGCCCTTTATATTGAGGAGTTGGCCATAAAATAAGCATAGAAATGTCATCCGTTTTAAGTAAAATATAAATCATTAAAATATAAATTTTCTGAAAATATTTCAAAGAAAGTCCAGCAAAACTCCTGGTGTCACTCCTGTCACACAGTAGGCATACTACTTCCCAAGAGAGTGGATACAGTGATCTCACTCTTTCCAATGGTTGCATTATGCTATCTTCCTTTGTAAGAGTGCATCAAAATATATTTAAACCATTCCCTCTATTGGAGGTCATTCAGAGTATGCTATTACCAGCAATGCTGCAATGACTATGAGTGTACACATCTTTACGCACTCATGCTAGTATCTTGCAGGATGAATTTCCCTTGAAGTCAGATGGCTGGGTGGCAGGATATAAATTTTTTAAATTTTGATTAGATGGTACCAAATTTTTCTTTGAAATATGTGTTTCAAATTATACTTCCTCTAACAACATATGACGGTGTTCTTTTTACTATGCCCTCACTGATACATACTGCTATCTTATACATTTCTACCAATCTACTAGATGGAAAATGATATCATCTTTAATTTGTATTGCTTTGATTATTAGACAAGTTAGGCACATTTCATGTTCACTGGTTGTTTCTTCTTTCATATATTTTCTATTCATATCCTTCAACAATTTTCCTACTGGATTATTCTTTTGTAGAAGCTTTCAGCTTTTCATATATGGATATGAACCTTTATCTTTTATACTAGGTGTAAACAATTTATGTCATTTATTTTTTTTTAAGTTTCATTATGGTGTTTTCACCACAGTTTCACAATTTTCACGTAGTCGAATATAACAATCTTTTCCTCTATGACTTCTACTTTGGTATCATTCTTAGAAGGGTCCTCCTTAACCCTAAGAGTTGAAATACAGTCTCTTAGACTCTTAAATATGGAGAATAGAGGGTTACTGGGGGGTTGTGGGAGGGGGGAGGGGCTAAATGGGTAAGGGGCATTAAGGAATCTACTCCTGAAATCACTGTTGCACTATATGCTAACTTGGATGTAAATTAAAAAAATAAATTAAATAAAAATTTAAAAATAAATAAATAAATAAATAAAATATAGTCTCAACTTTTTTTCTGGTGCGTTTATGGGTTTGTTTTAGTTAGATCTTCATTTACTTATATCTTTATATATTCAATACACATTTAAGTTATTTGTGAATGGTGTAAGACAGAAATATAACAATATTTTTTAAGTTAGATGAGGATATAGATTTGTGGAAAAGAACAAATGCATACAGCTGTTATAAATTCCTGAGGTAATATGTCATCAGTAGACCTAAACAAAGCAATGTGAAATGTCACTTGGGGTATTTTCCAACTCTATTTAGTTCATTAACCTGTTTGGTTAGTTTTTTTTGGTTTTTTCTTTATTCCTGGACTCGTACAACCTGGTTCATTTTAATACGTTTGGTGAAAATTCACACTAGAAGGTAAGTTTCATGACAGCAAAGCTCATACCATCCTTGGTGGCTGCCTTCTTATCTCTCTGGTTCACTGCCATATTCCCAGAGACTAGACTAGTGTCTTTGCCCATACCTGGTAAGTACTTAATAAACATATGTTGAAAGAATGAATGAATGCACAAACTTTGGGCACTCCGAAAGTCAATTTCTTGACTCTGCTTTTCTCTTTATTAGGATTATGGAAACCTCAGATTTCTAATTGGAATCTTTTTCATGTAAAATAGGCTTAAAGCACTGTTGTTGCACTGTTGCTAACATAATAAAAGATCACTGAAACATTATCATCACCAAACGTGTGTAGAGCACTATGTTAGATACATAGATCACAAAGATTTTATACAGGACAGAGTCCCTGTTCATGTGTCGGTTGGGAAAGAAAAGTACACACACACATATACGTATATGTAAAATAATTATATAAAATATTTTAAGTGCCAAATAGATGACACAGATGATAAGAAAACAGACCAGAGAGTCAGAGGACTGGGCTTCTCTGAACCAGTTTTCTTACCAGTAAACAAAATTCCTACTTTCTAGAATAATTCAAGATTTAGAAAAGAAAGCAGAAACCAAGGATGGTTCTAAAATGTTGCCAGATAATAGAGTTATACTTCAATAACGAAAACCATTTGGAGACCTTTATGTGCTGTGAATTGTTTTAAATCCATTCATGTATTAATTCATTTAACCCTCTTAACAACTCTAAGGAATAAGCACTATCATTCCCCCCACCCCTAATTTTAACGATGAGTATACTTTAGTTTGCATGAAGTCACACTGTAAAGTATGAAGCTAGGGTTCAAACCCAAAAATTCTGGCTCCAGAACCTGAAGCACTTAATTACCACACCAAACAGTCTGAATACACTTTATAAAAGAATTTACACAAGCAGATAGGTTTAGGGAAACACATTCACCTACTTGCCTAGAACAATAAATTGACAAATTTGGCTACGGTATAGGTTAAGCAACGGGGTAGAGTTTGATTACATACTTACCCTGAAAAACAACCACCCGTTATGGCAACCATCTGTAAACTTTCTCTTGGGTGCTTCTCTTCTAATATAACACTTCCCTCATCTTTACCATTAAACTCATGAACTTTTGACAGGAAAAAAAAAAAACAAGTATTTTTCAATTATTAATGCTATTACCCTGTTGCACAGCACGAACTGACCTTGATCTTTTGGGAATTTCGTCTTCCTGGTCGTGCCGTTTACTGCCTCCAAAGATCACTGTGAAGGAAGTAAATAAAAGAAGGCTACCGGATGCAATCTCGTTGCAACTGATCCTAAACACCGTGATTTCTAACTTGTAATCTTTTTCCCCCCATCCTCTTCATCCCGTCTCGATCCTAATACTCCCGAGAACTTCCTCTGGAACAGAAATCAGGAGTTGATTGACGAGGTAACGGCGTCGCCTCCAGTCAAGTTCAAGGTCTGAGGTCGCAGGCTCCTTCACCCCGGATTCTAGACCCAGCTTCCGCGCTACCAGGCCTTGGGGCAAAACACCAGGACTTGTGCCCCGCTTCCGCCCCTCCCCGGGCCTCAGTTTCCACTAGACATCTCCACAGAAAAGGCACAGATACTCCCGTTAGGAACTCCTAAGCACCGGGATACTTGGCCCAGAACCCCACCAGGCCTCCCAGCACCCGGACTCTCCCTCTCCCCAGTCGCCACCTCAGGCGGGTTACCTCACCCTGTCTTCGCGTTCTTCCTCCGAAGGGCCCACCTCCCACCACGCACCTCAGCTGCGCGGCCTTTCCCAGGCGGCTTGCGTCGCAACGCGGGAAGGGGTCTGGAGGCGGGACCAGGATCCTCGGAGCTAGGGGGCGGGGCGCCCTTCTCCACGCAGCCAATCAGCACGCGAGAGGCTTCTGGGGGGCCGCGCGCGTCAGGCGCGGGGCGGAGTCTGGTGGCTGCCCTGGCCTCAGCAAGTGCAGCTGCTTCAGGATGAGGTGGCAGATGACAGTGAGCGCAGGTGGCGGAGGTAGGAGGTAAAGTCGGAGCCAGGGGATAATGATGAATGGAGCTGCGGGACCCTCGCGCATCGATCATCGCGAGCGGGTTCTCAAGTTAGGCGAGAGTTTCGAGAAGCAGCCGCGCTGCGCCTTCCACACTGTACGCTGTGAGTGAGGACGATCCCCGGGAGAAAGGGGGACCTCTGGGGATGGGGACGTGGAGACATTAAACTTCTCGGAATTGTGATCCCACAAACCTCCTTACTCTGCTGGAGAATGGGGTGACCGGCGCTAACCGCTGTCCTGCCTGAAGTCCTAGGGGTTTCGTGGAAGAAGCCAGAGTTGAGCAGGTGTCGGTTGTAAACCCTGGGCAGAGAGATTCAAGTGAGACCAACAAGCAGAAAGGGAAACTTTGTGGAGGAGATCCGCACGGGTGACTGTGGAGACGACGTGACTGGTGTATAATGCAGAGGTGATAGGAAGGTAGTTAGGTGACAGATGGAAGGATGCAAAGGACCGAACAATTATGCAGGGTGAAGGTAGTACCTTGAGGCTGGTAGGGAAATATTCCCTCCCTTCTTCACTTTTTCTGTCGCTGACTGATGAGAGTTCTTGTTTAGTGTGTTCCTGGGTAGGTATTCTAAACCATTCCAGTAATCTGTAGCTCTTTTGGACCCCTGATTTCGTTCAGCTATCAAATACTGATTATCAAAGTCTTGGAGGGTGTGTTATGCATTTCTTTTTTAGAAAGGTATTTACTTCCCTATGATCTCTCCTTTTGATTTCCTTTTGGTTGTCCTCTCGAAGTAGTTCTGGTAAATTACACTCTGTAATGTTCAGGTAGAAAAAGGATCTCTTTTGCTTTAATAGTTGGATGGTATAGATTCCAGGAAGGAAAATATAGCATATTATGATTTGGTATGTAAAACATTTCATTCTTTGCATAATAACCCTCAGAATTATAGAGCGGAAAGGAAACTTTGAGATCTTTGAATCATAACCTCTTATTTTTCTGTGGCAAAATTGTAAAGTAGCTATTTTTTCACTTCCTTTCCCCTGTCCTGTTCTTCTTTAGTGTCTCATCATTCCACCTTTCTCACTCATCGTGTTCTTAGACTGTCCAGAGATCTTCATGGTTTTTGCTGAGATTTTCCATGTTTCAATCAAAACACCCCATTAAAGCTCAACTTTCTTGAGACACCTTGGTGGCTCAGTTGGTTGAGCGTTGGACTTCGGCTCAGGTCATCATCTCTGGGTTCATGATTTCAACCCCATCTCTCAGGGTTGCTGCTGTCAGCACAGAGCCAGCTTTGGATCTTCTGTCCCTCTTTCTCTCCATCCTTCCCATGCTTGCACTCTCTCTTTCAAAAATAAACATTAAAAAAAAAAAACCCTCAACATTCTCCAGAAGTTTGGTTAAGTTGTATATGATCTAATTAAAGTAACCCAGGGTAAAGGTATAAAGATCAATGGGTTTAACTCTCCAAGAATATATTTACATTTTATGAAAGGGTTTTGTTAAGCAAAATTAACATCCAGTTGGTAGAATAAACAGGGGAAATATTTGTCAACAGATCTTCAACAGTGTCCTTTGTTTTTTCTGCTTTGCGGTTCTCTGTCTCCAAGGTTACCCACAGTGAGACAGCTAGTGCTAGCTGTGCAGTTTCTCTCCTTCACTTCCATTTTCCAAAAGTGTGATAAAGCTGATAACCTGGTTTCTCCATGCCTTTCTTGCAAATAGTACCTCCTTTCTCCTCTTCTTTCTCAGGTTTAAAGTAGCCTTTTAGTGATTTTTCAAATCATAAGGTTTAAGATTATAAAGATTTGCTTAAGAACAAATTTTTGCATAATTTGGATATACTCTTTTAAGGGCATGAATCCCAAACAAAGAGGATAAAATACAGCTTTTGAAAGGCTCTCTGCAGGTGCTTCAAAGCTTTTCATTTATAAAAGTTCTCACTATGCTGGAATTGTGCCTTTAGAGTCAGAGAATCAGTTGATCTGGCTATAAGAATGAAAAGAAAAAAAAAAAAGACAAAACAACCATAGGAATAACCATCACAATATACCCAGATATTTGAATACACGCTTAGTGCTGTGGAAGACATTAGAAAAGTTTTTGGCCTTAGTTTTTTTTTTCTTGTTGAAGCAGGCAGAATCTTTCTAGATTTATTTGAATAAAACCAAACATTATCCTTGAGGACAGTTTCATCTACCTTATGATCCTCACTCTTAATGACTCAGAGTAAGGGATGGAAACTATAGAACAAGAAATCTTACTTTTTTACAGGGCAAGTGGACCTCATTTATAACAAACACTCAAGTCAGTGTAATCTGGGAGAAAGTAATATTCTACGTTTATGTACAGGGGTAATTATGCCTGCCTAATATATATATTTTTTAATATATGAAGTTTATTGTCAAATTGGTTTCCATACAACACCCAGTGCTCATCCCAAAAGGTGCCCTCCTCAATACCCATCACCCACCCTCCCCTCCCTCCCACCCCCCATCAACCCTCAGTTTGTTCTCAGTTTTTAACAGTCTCTTACGCTTTGGCTCTCTCCCACTCTAACCTCTTTTTTTTTTCTTTCTTCCCCTCCCCCATGGGTTTCTGTTAAGTTTCTCAGGATCCACATAAGAGTGAAACCATATGGTATCTGTCTTTCTCTGTATGCCTGCCTAATATTTTTAACAAAACAGGTTGTGAATTCTGGCCTCCACTACCAAATAAGTAATGTACCTTTTGGAACATTCTCTAAACTTTCAGCCTTCATTTTCTAATATATAAATGGTAAGGATTAAATAAGATTGCATAAACAACCTGGCATAGTCTTTGGTGCATAGAGAATAAATAATAGTTACCATTATCCTTGAAAGGGTATATTCATGTGTGTATGAGGAGTGCCAATGAGTGTCATTTACTTAGAGTTTCAAAAAGCATTTATCAAGGCTTGGCAATAAAACCTAACACAAAGATAGTCTGGCATGTGGTAGGGAAGACATGGGATGTTCTGTAAGTGGTAAGCTCAATGTTTAGCAGCAGATACTTCACTGGGTGGAAGAGTTTGAGTAACAGGACCCACTAAAATAAATTTTGAATTTGGGCTAGTGCTAATTTTACAATTTCTATCTAGATAAGGTAATAAACATTGAAATTCCTAAGTTTGTAAATGATACCACTTTTTGCTTGACAGTAATTGATGAACTCATGGTCAGTGAGGAAGATTGAGCCTTCATGTAGAGCCACTCCCACAAAAGTGGTTGTTAAGCTTTGGTGTGAGCAAACATTAGAAAGTACATTAATGAGAAATTGGATTAAAATTATATTTACAATTGGGGCGCCTGGGTGGCGCAGTCGGTTAAGCTTCCGACTTCAGCCAGGTCACGATCTCGCGGTCCGTGAGTTCGAGCCCCGCGTCAGGCTCTGGGCTGATGGCTCAGAGCCTGGAGCCTGTTTCCGATTCTGTGTCTCCCTCTCTCTCTGCCCCTCCCCCGTTCATGCTCTGTCTCTCTCTGTCCCAAAAATAAATAAAAACGTTGAAAAGAAAAAAAAAATTAAAAAAAATAAAATAAAATTATATTTACAATTAATTTTCTCTGATAAATGTGGTATATTGGAAAGGATATGGGTTTTCAAGTTAGTTGAATTAGTTCAAATACGAGGAAGTAAATTTATGATAGTAATTGTGATTCTTTTTTGAAGATATTGACATTATGTGACACTACAGCCAAAATAATCAGAAAAGTGATCAACATTGATTGAAAAAGTATTAATACAGAGTAGGAAATGTTTCTCTCCTCTATATGTAATATAAGTAATTGTACTGTAAACCTGAAAAAAATAACATAGAAGAAGGATATCCACAGTGAATAAATAAATGGTAAAATTGGTGGTGAGGTTTCCAAACCAAGGAGAACTGAAAGAAATAAACTATATAGTCTGGAATCATAGCAACCTAGAAAATACATTTGATATTTGGAAACATATAGAAAACATGAGATTACTTAACAAATTCTGTAATTCTAGAATTATACTTAATCCATTGAAACACAAAAGTTGTATTCTTAAAAAAAACTTGTTTGAAAGTAAATAAAAGGCAATACTAATTAATATAACAAGTAATAAAAAGTAGAACTTATTAATTCTAACAGTAAAATAATTAGAAATGTAAATAGGTTCAGAATAGTTTTGATAGATTTATTGATTATGAGTTCATGCTTATCATTGAATAAAGCTATAGATATTTTGGGTACATTACTATCTCTTATAGTTGTCTCATATTATAGACATCTATAGAAAGGCTTCAGAGACTTGTGAATCTCTTGAAATTATACAGTATTTGATATGTATGTTCATATATGTATTTTTTCTGTAGAGAGGATTTATGGCTGGTCTATAATTTTCATCAGATTCCCATAGGGACTTATGACTATTCCTCCTCTCCTAACAACCCCCGCTCCCCTGCCAACACACACAAAAGTTAAGAACTCTGGACACATATGGGGCGCCTAGGTGGCTCAGTCAGTTGAACATCCAGCTTCGTCTCGGGTCATGATCCCGCGGTCTGTGGGTTCGAGCCCCGCGTCGGGCTTTGTGCTGACAGCATGGAGCCTAGAGCCTGCTTCGGATTCTGTGTCTCCTTCTCTCTCTGACCCTTCCCATTCATGCTCTGTCTCTGTCTCAAAAATAAATAAACGTTAAAAAAATTAAAAAAAAAAAGAACTGTGGATATATAATAAGGCAAAGAGGCTATATGAGTGGATAGAGTTTGTGGCTTGAGTTCCTGATTTGATTTTTAACTGGCTTCATTACTTTAGCAGAGTTTCCCATTAGTAAAATGTGGGTGAGAATAATCAATTCAAAGAATTGTTGTGAAGATCTAAAGTGATGATATGTTACAAAGAAAAATAATCAGTTTTAAACACTAAAACAGAGGTTATAGATTAACAGCCTGTTGGCTGAGTTTGACTTTAGAGATGCTTTGTTTGACCCACACAGTTATTGTTTTAGCATAAACTAGTTGTAAATATGTAAAAATCAAGATCTTTTATACAGAAATCTGGATTACCAGCTTCTCTTTAAAAAATCAGAAGATAACCTGGCCTCACCAAACCCATATTCCTCTTGACAGGAGTTGGCTGGATCCAAGTTGTGGTTGTCTTCTTGAGATTGGGCTTATTCATTCTCTAGGTCACTGTGGTTCCCCACTGATCTGCTTCACTGCCTTGAATTACCTTTCTGGCTTTTCCTCTAAAGCATTATTTAACTGTAGTTAAGCAACAGGTCTCCCAATATTGTCCTCTGTGTCACTGTCAGAAAAATATGGGAGATCAAAAGACCCTGGCTTTACTCTAGGATGTCATTTCTGTTACCTATTTATTGTAGAGATTCCTTTATTGTCAAATATTAAGTAATGAGTGCCCTCTATGAGAACAGAAATGTGCTAGTGAAAAGTACAAAACAAATATGGCAGTATCTACCTTAAAGAAATGAGAGTCTTGAAATACAGATTTATCTGATCCTCAGGAGACAATTAGAAAACAAGTCTTTTGCACATAATTTAGCTGAAATAAGTTTATACTTAAAAATAAGTTTGGAGTTGGTTCAGAGAGGGATAAACATATGAACCAGGGTCAATTACAAAGATCTCATATGTGCCCATTATATTAAAGGCGCTATGCTAGGAGCCATAACTCAGGAGGAATTAAAGTATGAAGCATTATGTTTTACAAAATTACAGTTCTGGGGTGCCTGGGCGGCTCAGTCGGTTAAGCGTCTGACTTTGGCTCAGGTCATGATCTCACAGTCCAGTCTGTGAGTTCGAGTCCCGCGTCAGGCTCTGTGCTGACAGCTCAGAGCCTGGAGCCTGCTTTGGATTCTGTGTCTCCCTCTCTCTCTGCACCTCCCCCACTCGCACTTTGTCTCTCTCTCTCTCTCAAAAATAAATAAACATTAAAAAAAATTTTTTTAATTACAGTCCAGTAGGGCATATACAGAAACAGGTAAATAATACCAGGAAGTTTATGTTAGGTTTTGATGAGTGGTAGGTAAATGCTATAAAATAAGACCAAAAAACTTGAGATTTTGGAGAGTAGAGAAAGGGCCCCACATAGTGACTACTTTAGGGAAGAGGGGACTTTGAAATAGGATTCACATTCTAAGAGCAAAAACAGAGAAAAGCAGATGGTCAAGCTGTAGCTTTCTGTTGATTGAAAACTAGTTTGACTTCAGCAAGAATAGGAGATGGAATAGGAGATGGCTCTGAAAGATATTATGGAAGAAGACATAGTGATTAGATGTGAGTGATGAAGATTGAGGAATGTTTATATGAGTATTTACACTGATGAGCAAAACCTTAAAGGATAGTTAAAATTAGGAAGTTGAGGACATTTTAAAACCAACAAAGTCTGTTACTGTGGGTATCCCATAGGCCATGATGATAAATTACTTATATTAAAATACTTTAAGTGGAAGTTACTTCATTTATTATGTATACATCCTTATAAAATGAAGTTCTCACTTTAGGATAACAAATGGTATTTACTAGCTCAAATTGAACTTGTTTTCTTTCTCCATTAATGTTGATATCAATAAGACTGATATTCATTGTTGGTCAACCTCTTATCTTTTTCATCTAGTTAAATTTGATAGTTCCTTATTCTGGCTTTAGCAAATATTAACTGCATGATCTTGGGTAAGGGACTTGATTTCTTCTACCCTCATTTGCTGTATCTGTAACATAGGAGTATTCACAACTTTAGAGAATGTTCGTAAGGCTACGAGATAAAAGTAATTAAGAAAAAATTTAAAATAAAGTAATTAACACATAAGTTATTGCTGTTATTGTTTTTGTTTTGTATCTTTGTTTATTCTCTTGGCTATTTCTGTCTTCTGCTTTCTACTTTCTTTATTTCCATGATACTCAAGCTCAGTTCTGATTTTTTTCTTTAGTATTGTTGTCTTTTCATTAATTGATATTAACTAACACTTATTTCCCTAGAACTTCTTTCAAGCATCTAAAACTTAACACCTTAATTATTTTTTATCTTTGTCATTACCTTACTGCTACTAACAAACTTCCCAATTTATTTTCAGTCTAATCCTTATCCTCAATGGTACTACTATTGTAAATCAAATTCTTTCATGTTTTTCATATTGTCTATGTATTTTTAATCTGTTTCTTAAAATCTGGAAATAAGCATCAAGATTTGAGAGATACTTATTGCATGTTTTCAGTTCTGAATTAAAGCAACATGAAGAATAAACCATGCTATAAAGAATACTTAGTGTGAATTGTTTATACTTATATGTGCTTAAGGAACATAAGAGTGAATTTCATTTCTTTTCATAGAGTTGTTAAAGAATTAAATATAAAGTGCTAACAAGGTGCCTGGCAGGAAGTGTTCCTTATAAATGTTAGCCATTATAATTGTCATTGAGAAGCAGCGGCCAGCTTTTGTTTATAGACAGCAGATCATTTGATGAGCACTAGAAGATTCTCCTTTCACAAGACCTACCTATTATAGTTCTCTAAATTCTAATAAATGTTCAGTACTTTGGATTTAGACATTTGGGGGTACTTCCCTGTTAATATAAAGATCAGTCTCTTGGAGTAGGGGTAATTGGGAGAGGCCTCTCAGAGGCTAATGTTCTATTTCTTGGTCTGGTTGCTGATTACATTCGTGCCACTTTGTGAAAATTCATCAAGCTTATGATTCACATTCTAATTTGCATGTCTGCTATATTTTAATAAAGAGTTAACCTGGGAAAAATGTATATAACTGGAGGAATTCTGTATCAGAATTATCAGTCCTTAATATGTATTGATATGAATTGTTTTTAAATGGCTTTCATATCTTAGAGGTTTTAAACTTGTTCAGCATGTGAAATATCTGAGCACCCTAAATTTCTTCTGGGTAATATATTTTAATAACATCATTTGAATTATGATTTAACTCAAAATGAAATTCTATTTTAAGTATTCTGAAGCTGCAGATTTGATTACATTTATGTATCCTTTAGTGGCAAATAAATCCATGAAAAACTCAAACTTTTAAATTCAGTGATTGCTTTTTCTTAAGTTTTCCCATGAATGTGTATTTGCCACGTATTCATTAATTTTGTATTCTGCTAGAACAGCAAGCAAGTGATAGTAGGCACCCACGGTGGTTTAAGAAAAATTATGGGAGAAAAAGACTGAAAATTGAAAGCATTCTACTAATATAAGTTGTTAGCAAATTGTGAAAACATTGACATTATGTAGTTTTTAGCAGTGGAACATCTTAGCCTAGGTTGCAGTCTAAACAGGATCCAGAGGGAACATGGTTTGAGGAATACTGTTGTAGAGTTCAGCTATTTCTTTTTTTCTCAGAGTTATATATACCTATCTATATCTATATCTCTATATATCTATAGATATATATATATATCTATATCTCTCTCTATATATATATATATCTAGATAGGTATATCTAGATATAGATATAGATATATACCTATCTAGATATATAGATATAGATATAGATATAGATATAGATATAGATATAGATATAGATATAGATATAGGTATCTCCAAACTGGTTTGGATTTTATTTGTAGTATGAAGACTCTCCTAAACCATTTTAATTACTGGCTATTAAAAAATGATTTATCACTCTGAAACATGCTCACACTTTTTTAAATGTTTATTTGTTTATTTATTTTTGAGAGAGAGAGGGAGGGAAGCATGAGTAGGGAAGGGGCGGGGGGCGGGGGGACAGAATCCGAAGCAGTCTCTGCATTGTCAGCACAGAGCCAGATGTAGGGCTCAAACTCAAACCATGAGATCATGACCCGGGCCGAAGTCGGATGCTTAATTGACTAAGCCACACAGGCACCCCTTTGATATCCAGGTACCCAGGTATTGCTCCATCTTATAAAAATCCATATCTGTTTCTATTTTTAGATGACTTCAAACCTGCTTCCATTGACACTTCTTGTGAAGGAGAGCTTGAAGTCGGCAAAGGTGAACAGGTGACAATAACTCTGCCAAATATAGAAGTGAGTACTTCCATGTGTTTGGACTTAAAGGATCCTTTTGCAGTATTTATACTAAATTTAAATGAAAATAACTGCACAATTCATGTAGTGATAGTTAAAGTAATTAACAAATATACCAAAGCAAAAAAAAAAAAAAAAAAAAAAAAAAAAACCCAAACACTTATTTTAAGCTATTTCAGGAAAAATAGTCTTAAAATACTTTATTTATTCATTTTTTTTTTTTTTTTAGAGAGTGAGCATGAGTAGGGATGGGGTAGAGGGGGAGGAAGAGAGAGAATCTTAAGTAGGCTCTACACGCAGCACAGAGCCCAACACAGAGCCCGACACTGGGCTCCATCTCATGACAGTGAGATCATGACCTGAGCTGAAATCAAGAGTCAGATGCTTAACTGACTGAGCCACCCAGGCACCCCTTAAAATACTTAAAAAAAAAACCACCTTTGATCCATTAATAAGTTTTAAGAACTATCACATCAGATGATTTGAAACAATTGGAGGTCTAAACATATACCTATTAAATTATTATTATAAGCCAGATTTTGTACTCTGAACTAGGAATAAGAACATATCCCCTGCCTTTTAGTCTTAGTCTGCTATAGCAGAAAGACATACAAATATCTAATGCTATACATTAGAGCATGTACAAAATTCTGTGCAAGCACATATGTGGAATCAAATATTCTGCCTGGTAGAATCTTGAAAGGCTTCACAAAGCACATGCTATTTGAGCTGAATCTTAAAAGGCAGGTAGAATTTCATCAGGCAGAAAGGGAGTAGACTATCCTAGGTAGAAGGGATGTTATGTGAATGGCTCTGATAGAGAAAGAACAAGAAGTTTGCGGAATAAATGAATTAATGTAAGTTCTAATGTAGAATTTAGATTTTATCCCATAGGTATTACAGAGCCTTTAGAGGCTTTTAAGCAGAGTAGTAACATGATTGAATTTGTGCTTTTAGAGTGATTTTATCAATAATTTGGGGGAATGAGTTGGAGAAGAAAGACTCTAGGTCTTTAACCAAAGTTTTGTCTATTTAAAAAATTTCCAGATGTTTCCAAGTAACACTGTGAAATACTGTTTACACAGATATACAAATTATTTGTTGTATGGTCTAGTTTTCTCAATCTTTGAGTTAGAAATTTCTTAGCATTCAGCTTAAGTTTCTTTTTTTCTTTTATACCAACTTGACCTATTCTCAGAGAACACAAAGACTGTAACATTTTATTTTAACATATAGAGAAAGCACAGACTGAGATTTTTGTCTTTGTGTAATTTTTTAATGGAAATGGTTTTGTGCTAGTTCATCTACATTCTCTTATATGCATTTATGACATTATTTGTCATGATTAGAGGTAGAGCAAGCAAGTTCTCTATCCCCTAGTCTTCTATCTTTTTCTTATTTTTATCAGTCAAAATTATTTTTTATAATTTTTTAATGTTTATTCCTGAGAGAGAGAGAGAGAGAGAGCACAGGAGAGGGGCAGAGAGAGAAAAACATACACAGAATCTGAAGCAGGCTCCAGGCTCCAAGCTGTCAGCACAGAGACAGCTGGGGCTCAGACCCACAAACTGTGAGATCATGACCTGAGCCGAGCCACCCAGGCACCCCCCCCCCACCCCCGCACTGCTTTTCTACTGCAAGCAGATGGGGATTTTTACATTTATTAATAAACTTTTCTCAATCACCCATATACTTATTCAATTAAGAGTTACCATCCACCACGTGTTATGATCTCAGTTGTTGGGGTGCCTGGTTGGCTTAGTCAGTTGAGCATCTAATTCTTGAATTTGGCTCAGGTCATGATTCCCCCATCATGGAATCGAGCCCTGTGTCAGGGTCTGTGCTGAGTGTGAAGCCTGCTTAGGATTCTCTCTCTCCCGCTGCCCTTTCCCCCCACTGACATGGTCTCTCTCTCTCTCTCTCTCTCTCTCTCTCTCTCTCAAATAAAAAATAAGTAATAATAAATTAAAAATAATTTAAAAATTGAAATGTCTCTTAAAAGAATGACAATTATAGAAAGAAGCTTTCAAGGCTTCAAATTGTAAATTTCTTTAACAGCAAAGAAATAATTTAGGAAGATGTAACTCCTTGCCCCCAGGACACCAGAGATATGTCCAAAAAGAATATATCTCAATATTTGTGTGTGTGTATGTGTGCATGAGAAAGAGAGACAGATGGACAGTAGGCCATATATGTATATATATTTACCTTCTATGTGGTAACTTCTGTGCTAGGTAGCTATTAAGAATATAGCAGAAGACTAGACATAGTCAGTGTCCTAAGAAATATTACCATTTAGTTAGGAAGACAGGAAATTACTGATTACAAAATATAGAAATGTAAGGGCTGTCATAAAAGTATTCGTAGAATATTACAGAAGTACAAAAGAGCAATAATTCAGTCAGCAGAGAGAGAGGAGATGCCAGGGTATGCTGTCTTGAAGGAGAGTTGAAGTTACTCAGGTAAAGGAAAGAGGGAAGAATGTTTTAGGCAGAGAAAAGAAAAATACATGGGCTAAAACAAGGCAACAAAAGACTCTGTTACATTTGAAGAACTACATAAAGCCACTATGGCTAGGTCAGAAGGAGTCTACTAGGGACACAATGGGAGATGGACAGGTATTAGAAATCAGATAATAAAGGGCTTAATGTGTAAAGCAAAAGAATTTAAACTTTATCCTATAACTCTTTTTAGACAGCTGAAATGAAAGAGAATAGTTAAAATTATCACCTGTCAAGAGCAAATATATTTTTCTGCTGGCCATATAGTTCTTGGACAATTGTGAATTGTAATAGAAATTACATTCTCAAATTCACTTTGTGGGTTTTCCTCCCTTAATTAAAGAACTTCTTTAAACAAGTAGGAGTTTTACATTTCTTCAGAGTTCTTAATTTTGCAGGAATGTAATGATTTTAGTTTGAGGCATTTAGATTCTCTATTTTCTTTATGAACTTGGCTTTCATCATACAGGTAAAAATGAATAAAAGCTAGGAGTCATCCTATAAAATAGAACTTTTATTATACTATACTTTTGAGTACCTTCAGTTTCTGGAAGTTCTTCAAAAGAGTAGATTTTTTTATATGGTAGTAGTTAATATTTATCAAGTGTTGTATGTAAAGGGTACTATTCTATGTTCTTTATAAGAATTAGCTCACTGGGGCACCTGGGTAGCTCAGTTGATTAAGCATCTGACTTCAGCTCAGGTCATGATCTCATGGTTCGAGAGTTCGAGCCCCATGTTGGGCTCTGTGTTGACAGTGTGGAGCCTGCTTGGGATTCTTGCTTGCTCGCTCACTGGCTCACTCTCCTTCTGCCCCTCCCTCTCTCATGCTTTCTCTTTCTCTCAAAATAAAAAAATAAACTTAAAAAAAAAAGATTTAGCTCACTTAAGCCCCACAACTACCTATGGTTTAGGAACTCTTCCTGATGCCATTTTGCTAATGAGGAAACTGAGGCGTGTGGAGGTTTGGTAATTGTCCCAAAGTTAGGTAGCTTATAAACCACATAGTTGGATTTCAAATCCAAGTCTTCTTGACATTGATAAATTCTTGACCTTTGTAAAGTAGTTTTTGCAAAATTCTTATTTTTTGTTAATTTAAATTCATGTTAGTTGACATATAGCATAGTGTTGGTTTGGGGAGTAGAATTTAGTGATTCATCACTTACATATAACACCCAGTACTCATCCCAACAAATGCCCTCTTTAATGCCCATCAGATAGGATAGATTCTCTAATTTTCATTCCTCTAGGTTTTCTTTAGTAGTACCACGTAGAAGAAACTAATAAAAATGGGATGCTTGGGTGCTCAGGCAGTTAAGTGTCCTACTATGGATATTGGTTCAAGTCATGATCTCACAGTTGTGAGCTGGAGTGCAGCATCAGGCTCTGTGCTGAGCGTGGAGTCTGCTTGGGATTCTTTCCCTCTCTCTCTGCCCCTCCCCCATTGGCACACGCTGGGTGCATGTGCTCTCTTTCTCTCTCTCTCTCTCTTTCTCCCTCTCACAAAATAAATAAGTAAACATTAAAATAGGAAACTAACAAAAAATGGAGGCTGTTAAGCTGGTTAATAGTGGGAATTTACAAATCTCTCTTCCTTATGAGTAATTATAATTGACTACTGTAAAATTTCAAAATGTTGAATTTTGAATGGAAAAGACTTACTTGCTATGATTTATCATTGGTGCTGTCCAAGTTTGGCATTCTTTAGTGGTGACTCCACCTTATGGAATACTTTTGTAGGCCTCAATGAAATAGTCCACTGGAAACTTTCAACCACACTTACTATTATGTAGGAAATGCATCTCTAGAGGTTACCTATGACTTCAGCCCCCAAACACTGGACTTGTGAAAGTTCCATATGTCAGATGGGCTGCTATGCCACTCTAAACCACCCTCTTGGGCAACATTCATCCAGGATGAACCTGGAAGGTTTGATTCCATCCACTGAGTTTATTTAGCTCAAATGAGAAAATAGCCACCACGTTCATGGGACCTCAACCTATTTTAGGACTCATTTTATTTTAACATCCTATTGCAGTTATATTTTTAAATGAATTATATCTTTTATCATTATATAATAATATTTTTAATCTTGTTTTTGTGATTTTTAAGCTTAAATACTACCTTGCCTAATATTAATATCGCCACTTTGCTTTCTTTTTGTTTGCATGTTCATAGAATCTTTCTTTTATTTAGCTGATGTTTTAAAATATTTTAAAATACATTAAATATAACTATTTTAAAAATATTAAATATAACTATTTTAAAATATATCTTTTGATAACAGAATAATTTTTTTTAATATATGAAATTTATTGTCAAATTGGTTTCCATACAACACCCAGTGCTCATCCCAAAAGATGCCGTCTTCAATACCCATCACCTACCCTCCCCTCCCTCCCACCCCCCATCAACCCTCAGTTTGTTCTCAGGTTTTTTTTTGGTTTTTTTTTTTTTTTCAACGTTTATTTATTTTTGGGACAGAGAGAGACAGAGCATGAATGGGGGAGGGGCAGAGAGAGAGGGAGACACAGAATTGGAAACAGGCTCCAGGCTCTGAGCCATCAGCCCAGAGCCTGACGCGGGGCTCCAACTCCCGGACAGCGAGATCGTGACCTGGCTGAAGTCGGACGGTTAACCGACTGCGCCACCCAGGCGCCCCTGTTCTCAGTTTTTAAGAGTCTCTTATGCTTTGGCTCTCTCCCACTCTGACCTCTTTTTTCTTCCTTCCCCTCCCCCATGGGTTTCTGATAACAGAATAATTTTTAAGCCCAGTTCAACACTTTCCGTTTTTATTAGATTTCTATCCACACTTAGTTCAAAGTTGATATAGTTGATTTTTATATTTATCATAGTTGATTTTTATATTTATCATCTTATAGTATGTTTATTAGTTATTTTACTTTATTTTCTATCTTTTGTTTTTTATTAGTTTCATTAAGAATCTCTTCTTTTTTTCCCTTGTATTTCTTTGGGAGTACTATTGTACTTTTTCATCCCATTACTGACTAATTTCCTTTCCTGGTATTCCTAATCAGGCATGATCAAATTTGCCTGTCAACAGATGGGGGACAAAACTGGAAGGTGAGTAGGGAGGTGAATAATGGTAACTTAGGTGAGATGATGATTGGATCCTGAGGTTGGGTAATAGCAGTAAACATGGAGATGATTGGATGTATTCAGTAGTTAATTTTTTTTTTTTTTGAGGATTGAATGAATTTAATATTGTACATATAAAACACTTCAAACAGTGTCTAGCACCCTATAGATGTTCACACATGTTCATACAAGGCAATCTTTTTAAAATCTAGTTCCATTCTTCTGCTTAGAGGCTTCCAAATGCTTTTCTTTTTTTTTTTTTTTTTAATATGAAACTTGTTGTCAAATTGGTTACCTTACAACACCCAGTGCTCATCCCAACAGGTGCTTTTTATGGCTCTCAGAATAAATCTCAAACTCACCCCACCCCCCATGGCCAGCAAGGCCCTGTGGGGATCTATAGTTATCCATCTGCCAAGCTCGTCTCCCTCTCTCACATCCCCTCCCTCTCACTTCATCTTTTTGGCCTCAGATCCTTTGCACTTGCTGCTCCCCTTTCCTGGAGCTCTCTTCCCCCAGTTCTCACGGTGACTGAGTCCTCATATTTCAGGCTGCCTGTGACTTCAGTTTTATTTGTTCACAAAAGTTATTGAGAGGCAAAGACAGTTCATATTCTTAGGAGTTTCCTGATGTTTTAATACATTAATACTCTTTTCTAGGGGTATGGAATAAGGGACTGGGCAGGAATTAAAGTTTAAAATAGGAATAGTGGGGCGCCTGGGTGGCTCAGTTGGTTAAGCATCCAACTCTTGATTTGGACTCAGATCATGATCTCATGGTTCATGAGTTCAAGCCCTGCATGGGGGTCTATGCTGACAGTGCAGAGCCTGCTTGGGATTCTCTCTCTCCTTCTCTCTCTGCCTCTCCCCCACTTGCTATCTCACTATCTTTCTCTCACTCACTCACTCAAAATAAATAAATAAACTTAAAAAAATAAATAAAATAGGAATGGTGCTCAATTTAATAAGAAAAAAAGACTTTACTTTTTATATATTTTTTAATTTTCTTAAAGGTTATTTATTTATTTTGAGAGAGACACAGAGTGCATGAGCAGGGGAGGGGGCAGAGAGAGAGAGCAAGAAAGAGAATCTCAACACAGGGCACAAACCCACTAACCAAGAGATCATGACCTGAGCTGAAGTCAAGAGCTGGACACATAACCAACTGAACCACCCAGACACCCCAGGAAAAAAGCTTTACTTTTTAAGAACTGTTTCAAAATGTGGACAGCAGGTATAGAGATTATGAAGGCTTTATTTAACTTTGGATCAAAGTGTTCATATTGTTCATATTCAACATCCATTTAGTATCTCTGAAGCATTTGTTACTTTAGGTACTAGGAGAAATAAATAAAACAACCAAAACTATGATCTAGTCTTTATTCTTCAGGAATTCAAAGTACAACAATGTATTATAATTTTAAGATACATTCTATTCTAAGTAGAAGTGCAAATATCTTTAAGAAGAATATGGTGCACATCTCTTATCAACTGTAATTTGGAGTCCTTGGGTTACTATCTGGGAGTATCTTATTCATTTATTCGTCTATTTCTTATATTTCCTGTAAACTGATAGATATATCTAAAGGCCGGATGTGAGTTAGACTGTGTGTGTGTGTGTGTGTGTGTGTGTGTGTGTGTGTGTGTGTGTGT